ATTCTTTGCATATTTCAGATAGCCATCATTTATCCAATAAATGTTTTACAGAGATTTTCTCTTACTCTGAATTGGTGTTGATCTCTTTACACCATCTTTTTCAGAGGAGGAGTTTTTCGTTTTACTTAAAATTGTAAAATTTTTGGTTTTTTCTTTTGTGGACCTTGCTTTTTGGTTTTCTATGTGAAAATTCATCAACAAACACAAGGTCATCCAGATTTTCTTCTGTGTTATCTTGTAGGAGTTTATTCTTTTGGCAATTTACATTTAGGTCTATGATGTGTTTTGATTTAATTTTCATGAAAAGTGTGAGGCCTGTGTCTCCATTTGTTTTGTCCGTGTGTATTTGCATGTGGATATCCATTATTTCTCCCACTGTTTGTTTAAAATACTTGCTTTTTCATTTGAATCTCCTTTCCTTCTCTGTCAAAGTTCAGTTGACTCTGTTCATGTGGATCTAGAAGGAAAGCAAACTTGCTGTACTCTCTTATTAATCCCAGGAGTCGTTTCTGTCATTGTGAGTTCTTCCAGTTGTTGCATAGAGACAGTCATATCATATGGAACAAACACCATGAATTCAGCTACAGGATTTGTGAAAGTGTTCTTTCTCAAGAAGTGGAAGTTCCCCTCTATTACTAGTTTATCTTAAATGCATGTTGCTTTTATCGTCTTATTTTATATTTATTTCCCCTCCTTTCCTTTCTGATACTAGTAATTTCTGTCTTCCCTCTTCTCTTTGTTGTCTGGACTGGATATTTCTCAATTTTATTGGTCTTGTGAAACAAGCAGCTTTTTTCTTTTCATTTTCTCCATTGATTTCCCACAATGACATTCATTTCCTTTCTTATTTTATTATTTCTTTTATTGTGCTTGCTTTGGGCTTAACTTGTTCTTTTTATTCTTTGCTAAGGTACGTGCTTGTGTTAGTGATTAGAGATCTTTGATTTTTCCAGTGTATTTGTTTGATGGCATGAATTTCCCCCTGGATACTGCTTTCACTACATCCAAGAACCTTTACTATGTTGTGTTTTCATTTTTTTAATTCAAAATAATTTTTCATTTTTCTTGAGACTTCTAGTTTGATATGTATTATTTAGAAGTATATTTTTGAATCACCACATATTAGGGGGTTTTCCAACTTTTTCTGGTATTGCCTTCTAGAGGAATGCCTATGTGGTGTGAGAGCCTACTTTGTATGATTTCTGGTTTTTCATATTTGTTAAGGTGTGCTTTATGTCCCAGGATGTGGTTTGTTTTGGTGAATGTTCCATGTGAACCTGAGAAGAATGTATATTCTGCTGTTCTGTGAAGTATTCTGTAGATTACAATGAAACCCAGCAGTTTCGCAGTGCTGTTCATTGCACCTCTGTCCTTCCTCACTTCCTGCCTACTGAAATTTCTAATTCCTGCTGAGGGGGTGTTGACTTCTACAGCTGTGGTACTGGATCTGTCTCTTTCTCCTGCATTCGGTCAGTTCCTCCCTAAGGTGTGTTGCCCCTCTGTTGTTAAGCAGGTACACATGCAGCGTTGCTGTGCCTTCTCAGAGAATAGGCCCCTTTATCCGTACCTACTGCCCCTCTATCTCTGCATCTTCCTCAGTTTGAAATCCGCATTGTCTATAATGTCTATTCCTCTGGCCGCTTCCTTTGATTCGTGTTGGCATGGTCTGTTTTTCTCCATCCCTTTACCCTTCATCTCTCTCTGACTTTATACTTAGAGTGGGTTTCTTGTAGACAACATATAATGGAATTTTTTGAACTCTATTACTGTGTCTTTCAGTTGTAATGAGACCATTGATGATTAAAGTGGTTGTTGATTCAGTTAGATTAATACTTACCAAAATTTCCCACTTTTATCCTTGTTTTTGTCTTCTACCTTTTTGCCACCTTCTCTGGTTAAAATTGAGCATTTACTGTAATTCTTTTTTCCCCCCTCTTAGCATATCAGTTACACATTTTTTTAAAAACACATTTTAGTGTTTGTCCTTGAGTTTTCAGCGTACATTTACAACTAACCCCCCCCTGCCAAGTAACACTGTGCCGCTTCACCGTGTGCAAGTACCTCTTAACACAGTCCCCAATTTTCCTTTCCCTGTGTCTTGTCACATTGCTGTCATGTATTTCACTTGTCCATAAGCTTCTTATTACCAAATACATTGTTGCTAACATTAGTTTAAACAAAGTGTCATCTGTTATATTTATTATAAGAACCAAAAGATATTTCCCCTCATTTTTTCTTCTTCTAATCCCCTACCTTTATCATTTACATTCTTTCTGATAAACTTTCAAGTAATTTTCATCCCAAGTATGTGTACTCGGGACGAATTTCCTCAAATTTTGTCTCAGAAAGTCCTTATTTCTTCTTTGTACTGAAGGATAATTTTGCTTGACCAAATTCTAGGAAAGTGGGTTTCATTTTCAACACTTTAAATCTTTCAGTCTCCTCTGCTCTTGTTGCATGGTTTTGAGAAGAAGTTCAATTTAATTCAAATCTTTGTTTCTTTCTGTCGAAGGTGTGTTTCTTCTCTGGCATTTTTTCAGTACATTCTCTGTCTGTGATGTTTCTCTAGTTTCAGTGTGATACCCTTCAGGTGTGCTCTTTTGTACTTTCCCGTGTTTAGTGTTCCATGAGCTTCCTGGATGGACAGTATGCTGGCTAGCATTGATTTTAGGATATTTTGGTGATTATTACTTCATGTTTTCTTCTCTCTCTTTTCCTTCAGGGATTCCCATTATCTGTATTTTAAGCCTTCATTTAAAGAGGGTTATCCTAGGCTTCGTGGAAATTGTGTTCTGTCTTTTTTGTTATTTTTGCCCTTGCATTAGACTCTGGTGAAATAGATTTTTTTTTTTTTTTTTTTTTTAGTACACGCCTTGTTAAGAACAGAATATGTGGGGCGTGTTTCAAAATGCCATCTTTTTTTTTGTCTTTCCCAAGTTTGGAGACACTGGTTTGTCCTATGATCTCAAGGCTCTCCTGGATCTAAGAAGGGTTCTTCATGTCAAGTTTGTTCATTTTCTTCTTGTGAGATCAAGAATGACAGCTTCTAAGCTCCTTAGGTGCAGGATCAAAAGTTGGCAGGGCATCATCCGGAGTGGCTGGTCAGGAAACACTTCCTCTTGAAGTTGGACAAAGGAAATTTTATGTTCTTTGGGGGAAACCACTGTTAAATCCTGCCTGTATTTTATAATCATGGGCAAATTTAACATCAAACCATTGTGGTCTTCAAGGAGCTCCCCTGCAATCTATGGCTCTTTTTTTTTCCTCTAAAGATTGACACCTGACCTAACAACTCTTGCCAATCTACTTGTGTTTTTTTTTTTTTCTGCTTTTTCTCCCCTAATCTCCCCAGTACATAGTTGTATATTGTAATGGTGAGTGCCTCTGGTTGTGCTATGTGGGATGCTGCCTCAGCATGGCCTGATGAGTGGTGCCATGTCTGCACCCAGGATCCGAACCAGCGAAACCCTGGGCTGCCAAAGTGGAGTGCGTGAACTTAACCACTTGGTCACAGGGCCAGCCCCAATCTGCAGCTCTTAACCTACCCCTCAAGGGGAGCAAAGCTCAGGGTACACTGTTAGCATTTGACCAGAACAAGCTCTTATGGCACATTATCTCACACTGTGTTCTAAATTTGGTGAGAAGTAGCTTTGAGGCCCGTACGTATAGTGATCTTATGGTCTAAGTTTTCATGGCTTCTTCCTTGTGCCTGAGCTCTCAGTTCATAATAATTCCAGCCCCATCAAATCTTCCAGAGTGAGAAAGGTAGAACTGAGTCTATGATAGATATTACACAAGTTAAAAGCACTCTTTCACCACAAGAATATTTACATTCAGCCAGCTGCATCTGATTACCTGTAATGGCCTGGAGTAGTTTAGGACAATGTGGGCAGCTGGGCTTGGTCAAAGTGTGATTTCACAGGCCTCATGGACTCTAAGTTTGGTGATGGGACCAGAACAAAAAGCTTCCAGTTATTCACTATGTTTTGTTTTGTTTTGCTTTGTTTTGTTTTTTTGAAGATTAGCCCTGAGCTAACTACTGCCAGTCCTCCTCTTTTTGCTGAGGAAGCCTGGCCCTGAGCTAACATCCATGCCCATCTTCCTCTACTTTATATGTGGGACGCCTACCACAGCATGGCATGCCAAGCGGTGCCATGTCTGCACCCGGGATCCGAACCGGCGAACACCAGGCCACCGAGAAGCAGAACATGCAAACTTAACTGCTGCGCCACTAGGCCAGCCCCGTTCACTATGTTTTTATTCACTGAAACGTCCCATAGATTTCACCCTCTGTGTCAGGGAGTGCTGTAACCAGTGGGTAATGTGGAAGAAGATGAAAGAACTTTTCTTACGAAGAATCATGGGTCCACAATTGATGTTTGTTTCATTTGTATAGCATTTCTGTCATTTCCCAATATGTTCTGGAACTTGTTCTTAGAGAGAAATTGGATGGAATGTGATCACAGTAAAAATGTGTGTTTCCATGTGTTCACAATATTGTTAAATTGATGAGCATTGTGTACAGAAAAAAGGGAGTTTGTGATGATCACACATAGAATGAATGTTTGGAGATAACAGAATCCCATGTAACCTTCCTAGAATTGGAGTCTAGATCCCCAGTGCTGTCAGGCTCATGTATCCTACTCTACACACTTTTGTGGTGTTTTAGGACTCAGTGGCCATTGAGGACGTGAGTGTGAACTTCACCCCAGAGGAGTGGGCTTTACTGGATCCTTCACAAAAGAAACTCTACAGAGATGTGATGTGGGAAACCTTCAGGCACCTGGCCTCAGTAGGTAAGAACGAGGACATTCCTCACGTCATCAATGAAAGAACAAGTGGTTCTTGCCCATCATCAGTGTTCTAAGATGTAGAATGTGGAAAGGGGAGGTTGTTAGTAAATAAAGTAGAAATGGCCATAGATTATCGTATACTTAGAATCTAGAAATTTTTGTCTAATTTCTAATATTTGGAATAAACTTTGTGGGTCTGCATCTCAGGAATAACATGGGAAGATTGTGATGTTGAAGATCAGTACAAAGGCCAGGGGAGAAAAGTAAGGTGAGTCACACAATAGAAAGCTCTGTCTCATGTGAGAATCCTTGTAGGTTAAGAAATTGTTTTTAAAAAGAACAAACAAAACAAATAAGCCTTGCTTCAAATTTAGCTATTCTTAGAAAATTTTCACCAAATATACTTTCTGAAATGTGATGTAGAGGTTCACTTTTTGCAGAATATTTCACTTAGAAATAATATTAGTGAACCTTATCTGTGAATATCACTGTTTGGATAATAACAAGGGTGAAGTCCTCTTTCAGAAAATTCAGTATATTTCAGAGAATTCACAGAAGGGAGAAAACATAAACATTTCCTATCAATCATAATAAACATAAGAAATAATAAACATAAGAAATATTGGGGCTGGCTCCATGGCCGAGTGGTTAAATTCGTTTGTTCCACCGTGGTGGCCCAGGGTTCGGGTCCTGGGTGCAGACATGGCACCGCTTGTCAGGCCACGTTGAGGTGGCGTCGCACATCCCACAACTAGAAGGACATGCAACTAGGATGTGCAACTGTGTACGGGGGGGTTTGGGGAGATAAAGCAGAAAAAAAAGGGGGGGGTGATTGGCAACAGTTGTTAGCCCAGGTGCCAATCTTAAAAAAAAAAAAAAGAAATATAAAATCATTAATAGAGAAATCATTAACAATATGCTTCTCATTATTACAGAAAGCATAGGGTAGGGAGAGTCTGTGAAAGTGAAGAAGATAGTCAGTTTGGAGAAAACTTCAGCCTTCTTCCAAATCTCAGTCTGAACAAGAAAACTACAGGAGCTAAACCATGGGGATGCAGTGCATGTGGAAGAGTCTTCATGCATCATTCATCCCTTAAAATGCACATTAGATGTCACACTGAACGTAAAACATATGACTATCAAAAATATGAAAAGAAGCCATATAAATGTAAGGGATGTGGGAAAGCCTTCACTTATTTCACTTTACTTCAAGCACATGAAAGAACTCATACTAGAGAGAAACCCTATGAATGTGAAAAATGCAGTAAAGCATTCACTTGTTCCAGTCATCTTCTAAAACATGAAAGAATTCATACTGGAGAGAAACCCTATGAATGTAAAACATGCAGTAAAGCATTCACTTGTTCCAGTTCTCTTCAACTTCATGAAAGAATTCATACTGGAGAGAAACCCTATGAATGTAAAAAATGCAGTAAAGCATTCACTTGTTCCAGTCATCTTCTAAAACATGAAAGAATTCATACTGGAGAGAAACCCTATGAATGTAAAACATGCAGTAAAGCATTCACTTCTTCCAGTAATCTTCAACTTCATGAAAGAATTCATACTGGAGAGAAACCCTATCAATGTAAAAAATGCAGTAAAGCATTCACTTGTTCCAGTCATCTTCTAAAACACGAAAGAATTCATACTGGAGAGAAACCATATGAATGTAAGAAATGCAGTAAAGCATTCACTTCTTCCAGTCATCTTCAAAGACATGAAAGAATTCATACTGGAGAGAAACCCTATGAATGTAAAAAATGCAGTAAAGCATTCGCATGTTCCAGTTATCTTCAAGTTCATGAAAGAACTCATACTGGAGAGAAACCCTATGAATGTAAAACATGCAGTAAAGCATTCACTTGTTCCAGTCATCTTCGAAATCATGAAAGAATTCATACTGGAGAGAAACTCTATGAATGTAAAACATGCAGTAAAGCATTCACTTCTTCCAGTAATCTTCAAAAACATGAAAGAATTCATACTGGAGAGAAACCCTATGAATGTAAAACATGCAGTAAAGCATTCACTTGTTCCAGTCATCTTCTAAAACATGAAAGAATTCATACTGGAGAGAAACCCTATGAATGTAAAAAATGCAGTAAAGCATTCACTTGTTCCAGTCATCTTCTAAAACATGAAAGAATTCATACTGGAGAGAAACCCTATGAATGTAAAACATGCAGTAAAGCATTCACTTGTTCCAGTCATCTTCAAAGACATGAAAGAATTCATACTGGAGAGAAACCCTATGAATGTAAAACATGCAGTAAAGCATTCATTTGTTCCAGTTCTCTTCAACTTCATGAAAGGATTCATACTGGAGGGAAACCCTATGAATGTAAAAAATGCAGTAAAGCATTCAAACCTTCCAGTTCTCTTCGTGTTTATCAAAGAAGTCACACTGGACAAAATCCCTTTGAATGTAAAATATGTGTTAAAGCCATCAGTTCTACCAAGTCTCTTTCAAGACATGAAACAATGCACACAGGAGGAAAACCTTACAAATGTGAAAAATGCAGTAAAGCATTTGCTTCCTCCAGATCTCTTGAAATACATGGAAGAATTCATACTGGAGAGAAACCCTTTGAATGTAAAACATGCAGTAAAGCATTCACTTCTTTCCATTATCTTCGAGTCCATGAAAAAAGTCACACTAGAGAAAAACCCTTTGAATGTAAGATATGTGGTAGAGCCTTCTGTACTACCACTTATCTTTCAAAACATGAAACAACGCACAGAGGAGGGAAGCCCTATGAATGTAAAAACTGCAGTAAAGCATTCACTTCTTCCCGTTCTCTTCAAATACATGGAAGAATTCACACTGCAGAGAAACCCTTTGAATGTAAAATATGTGGTAAAGCCTTCAGTTATACCAGTTCTCTTTCAACACATAAAAGAACTCATACAGGAGAGAAACCCTATGAATGTGAAAACTGCAGTAAAGCATTCACTTGTAACAGTTCTCTTCGAAGACATGAAAGAACTCACAGTGCAGAGAAATCCTATGAATGTAAAGAATGCAATAAAGCCTTCACTGCTTCCAAATATCTTCGAGTCCATTTAAGAAGTCACACTGGAGAGAAAGCCTATGAATGTGAGGAAAGTCAGAAAGGCTTTAGTTCTCATGCAAACTTTTGAGGATATGCATGAATGCACACTAGAGGTAAAAGCAGGTAGATAGAAACAATTTGGGATTGTGGTGATCGCACTTCTTTCTTGAAGGCATGAAAGGACTCACTGGATAAAAACGTCTTGAATGTTCAGAGCATGAGAAAGACTTCAGTTGGCCTACACCCTTCTATGTGAAACTCCCACCAAAAAGAAATGTAAATGTAAGTCATATGAGAAAGCTTCATGGAAATTAATTTGTACATGAGGTTCTAGAAAACTTTCAACAGGAAAGAGTCGTTATAAAAGTGGTAAATATATTGTATTTATCAAGCCTTTCTTAAAGTGCAACATTAGACTGTGGATTTCTATAAATTACTTCAGAAACGAATATTGAGGTGAGATGATTCTGCTAGTCCTTCAGAAGTAGTAAATAAGACTCAGGTAGTGCATTTCCCGTAAATCAGTTAGTTTTTTTTTTTTTTTTTTATAATGTTTTAATTGTTCCGTGTTAAAGGGCTATTGAAAAATGACAGTTTGTATTTGTTGTGATTTTCCTACTGGCCTTGTATTTACAGTTCCTGGATATGCCTCATCCATTGTACATATTGTACATGTTTTAGAGAAAGCGCCTTTTTGGGGGTGTTGGGTGGAGGAGCCTGTTTTTATTTTCTGTACTATTAAACAGTTGGAAAAAATTATGTATGGCAAGTTTATCCAAGAGTGTACTTCCTGTGAATTCTTATTTTCCCATTTGGGCCTTTGCTGTTTGTCCTTCCTTCTGACTGGTATTTGGTGAATAGACTGAATTAAGTAGAGGCCTGTGGCATGCAACAAAATCTAGAGCTGGACACATCACCCCTGTACTGCGTTATGTCAGTGAGAGTAATCTGAACAGCGAGATCTTTAAGAATCTGTCCCCTTTATGGTGCCGTGTTTGGAATTCCCCAGTGGCCTCACTTGCATGAGATTTGGAAGGCAGAAGCACACAAGGCCTTAGGCCGATTTTCGAGCCACCACACAGGGATGGAGACAGTTCCATAGGAGCTTCAAGGACACCATCTTCCATCCCTTTTTCTGGATTCTTTGCCCTTCTTGTCAAGAGTATCTTGAAAACCACCAAGAATTAGTTGATTTCCATATTGTTAGAGATGCATTTTCCACTAGTTTCACATCAAAGATCCATTCGAGTTAGGGTCTTTCTGTAAGGCCTTTTGTGTCCACCAGGAATCTAATTCAGACCTTCGTGGTTGGGAGTATTCTCTGATTCCCCTTTTCTCTAGATGATAATTGACTAAAGTCTAAGCTGTATAGGAAACTCTTTTGCTGTTCATAGTACTCATGAGCACATTTTCCTGATTCACCGTGGCATCTACAATGGGACATGAAAAGAAGAACCTGCAAGTTTGTTTCTCTGCTGCCTTGTGCAGCAGCTGCCTCGACCCACTTGTTCCATGTGAGTACAATCACCTTTCTCATGTTGGGAAGACTGTGTGTGTTTCTTGTTACGTGTAGCTTGAATGTATTCCCTCGATGTGTTTTCAGTGACCTTTGAGTGTATGTCAATAAAAGTATGTCCGTCTGTTTGGGAAATGAACACTTCTCTAGTTTCACTGATACATTTTATCAACTGTTCCAGTCCATCATGTGTTAATAAATATTATCATGGATTTCATTTTTACAGACTATTAATATCCATTTTTGCTTATGGATTTTCAGATATACTTTGCAATGTTCTTCATTTAGTCGTTATACATTTTGAGTCAATTTTATCATGTGCGGTCCAATTCAGGTGTTTCTTCATCAGGCAAACTGTAGTTCTTATTCTTTTACAGTGTAACTTTTGTCATGAAAATAATTTCTCATTCATTTTTAACCCCAAAATTAACCACCATGTTTTTCCTCAGTGCCCTCTTCCAGTGACCTGCAGGATTGCACCTGCAGTCAGAGAGGGGTGTAAGGAATTCTAGTAAGAATGACCACAGACCTAAAGGACCTTGAGGTGTAGCGGTAACGGTGCTCAAAGGACTTCTTACAAGATTTTGGCCTGTGTTTGTGGACTTGACTGCTATTCAAGGAGGCAGGTTATTTTCTGTATTCAATGATGTGAGGAGGTAAACTTAATCCTAACTTTTGTAAACTTGTTTTTTTTGTGAACCGAGTCATTGTTTTCTAGAAGGCAAAAGAATGTAGTGAGTGTAAGTTAATTTTTAAGAAGTTCCAGTCAGTCGTTTTAGTAAGAAGAAGGAAAACAGCCATTTTTATGATGTGGACTTTTATCCTTCATCATTTTTACCTCATAGGGTCACAAAATACTGTTAGTTTTGTCTTGGAAACTGTGTACTTTTAATGAACAAGCTGTTGGACACTTTTCTCTTCAGCAGGGTAAGACTTGGCCTTGCAGTGGATGCAGCCAGCTCCTGGTCCTCTGGAACAGCTTTGCCTTTCCTACTTACAGTCAAAACACCGATGTATTTCCTGTGGTGAATTAGACACTGTTTACTGTGAAGTACCTCATTGAAATGCATAACTTCTCTTCTTAGCATCCTACATAACATTTTCAATATCTGCTTTAGACTCAGCTGAGGCCTTTGAGTTTAGGTAAATTGTGAGACAGTGCAAACCCAGGCAAGGAAATAGGACCCCTGTGCCAATCTGACACCTTTCCTTCTCCGGGACTGTGTTCTTGCTGGTACCGTTTCAGCGTCCCTCACAAGCCATGCAGTGTGGAGTCAGTGTACTCACTGTAGCAGAGCTGAGACGCAGTAAGATCTGGATACAGAGCATGAAACAGACAAGTCCTGGCAGTCCTGGTGCTTCCATGTTTGTGGAAAAGCAGTAGTGATGGACACAGTGAAGCTTTGTTTTATAGAATAGAAGGAAGGCCTTTGAAGAAAAGTAAAAAATAGCATTGAGCTAATAGGCTGAGGTGTGTTTATATCTTTTCTTTTAGGGTAGAAGAGCGAGGATGTCATTATTATCTGGGACTTGAGACTTCCTATTGATCTAAGCCACAGATATTTGTATTGTCTTTTGTTTTTAATGTCATTTGAGAGGATTTTTATATTGCCATCAAATATTTAAAATGTTATTTTTGGCATTTTCATTTTGCTGCTCTGCAGACTGGAGTGTGCAACATACACCCCAGTAAACCATGGAGTTCCTCCCACTTAGAGAGACAATTGCCTTCACCTGCACTGTTCTAGCTCATCCTGAGTGAGTTCTATAAGTAGAGTGACATCTATATGAGTCCGCTGTGATCTCCCCATGGAAACAGCACAAAGAGTTCTGGGTCGTTAGAGGCAGTCTTCAAAGGAGCATTTGAGGTGAGCTGGAGAGAGAGGGTGTAATTTTTAGTAACATCCTAATTGAGTGTAAGAGGAGAAATGGGAAATTTTCACCATCTTTTCATCACGGGGTGGCTGGAAGTCTTTAATTTCAATGATCCAGAAAGCCCCGGAGCCCAGGTAGCTGATCACAGGTTTCATTTCCGTATGCTTAGACGTCCAGCACGTGGTGTGGAAAACTGGGGAAGAGCAATAACAGCTTCAAGGTTTAAAACAGCAAAGGGAAGGGAATGTTTTCCTTTTTTTTTTTTTGTTTTTTTGTTTTTAGTGTGAACTTATGAATTGGAGGGGTTTCATTCAAATGGACAGCACAGGATTGTTCTTTTCAGGTGATGGGATGTTTTTAACCTCTTGATGGCAGTATTCCTAACATTTCTGAAAACTCATGAAAGCACTTAAGCATTTTATATATGTGTTATATATGTACTTATTAGCAAGTGAATAGTATAATTGCTTTCATATGCTAGAAGAATGTCAAGGTCTCCTGAACCTGGATTTTTATGTGGTCAAATCTTTCCACCACTGTGGGATCCTTCTTAGGCCCGTTGAAGACTGAGTCCTTCTCAGTCTTCAACAGGCCTTTCTTGCAACCCTGGCTTATTTGAGAAAACACCCCCTAGGGTTGCACCTGCCCTCAGCTCGTGCTCATAACAGGAGTGAAGTGAGAGGGCTCCCAGACTCTGTCTTTGAGTTTAAATCAGGTTCGTGGACAGGTCTTTGGAAATTCTGTGGTTAGAAACATAAAAGTGTATCCCAAGCAGAATCTGCCTGGGGGCATCCTCATCCATGGATCCTCATCCATTTGGGGACATTTTAAATATTTGATGGTAATATAAAAATCCTCTCAAATGACATTAAAAATAAAAGACAATACAAATATATGTCCTTTTCAGTGCCGTCCATAGACCATTTGCAGCTCTTCACTTCCCAACTCAAGCCTACTCTATGTCTCCTTACTTGGGAAAACCTTTGAAATCCACACGTCTCACTCTATATTTTTTCTGAGGCAACAGGAGGGGGCTGTGAACTGAGACGGTGACAAAAGCAGTGGTAGAAACCATGTCCTGGGCATATTCTGTCAGCCACAGTGACACAGCCATCTCAAATTTATCAGATCTGCTTGCTTATTCACACAACACTTAGAAATTGACTTACATTGAATTGGGAACAGAAGGCTCTGGAATGTTTGAAATAACATTCCATTCGTGTCCCCCTCCCCGCAGTCCTTCTCAAACATGCCTTAGCAGCCTCTCATTGAGCATCCAAGCGTCTCTAAACCCCCATGCTGGACATAAATTACCTAAGGCATTCTTGTTCCAGAACTATTCTCTTCATTGGGTGCTGCAGACAATTAGTGAAGCCACTGTGGCAACTGACAGAGTCTTTATGTAAATGGAGTGCCTTCCAGGGCCTGAATGGATGATCCTCCAAGCCAGCTTCCCATTTTGCCTTGGGTCCTGAATGCAGGCCCTCCCAGGCTTTCTAATCAAAAGGCTCCTCATTGAAGAGATGGGTATTTACAGCATGGAGCCAAACATTGCTCCTCTGGAGTATCCCATGAACAGTCGAAAGTGCTTTGTTCTTCTCTGATGTTATCCATTCTGAGGAGATCATTTCCATTTTAGACACACTGGCCACTTGGAGAGTCACTTAGGAGCACATGGGTAACCAGGGTGCTCGTAAACTTTGTGGACAGTGTGAACCATCACAGCCAACAGAGTCCACTGCAGAGATGGTGCCTTCTGTCGCTACATCAGACAGGCCATCCTTGATCAGAGAATGGACTGAAGCATCAGACTGATCAAACAACAGTTATGTTAGGAATAGAAACTTTCTTAGCCCAGAATCCAACCCGTCTGTACATTTTTACAGATCCTGGGCCATTACCCATGATCCAGCTGTGCAGTCCCACGAATAACAGCAACCCATTATCCAAGGTTGCCCACTATGTCTTAAAGAATTGTGGGAATATCTTGCCTGTCAAATACCCAACTACAAATCTGGCCTCTCCTTACTCTGCCCATATGAAACGTCAAACTGCAGAGGGTGATTTTTATTGCTCAGGGTGATCAATTGACTTGAATTTCTGAGACACATGTCAACACCTCAGACCTGATGGTGTTAACCTTGGCCTTACAGTCCCACATAATGTGAAACCACTTACAGACCTCTAACTTAAGACTCTAGGCAAAATTGAAGTGATTTCCCTCCTCTGCTATGGTTAACCCAGTGATGGACCAGTGAACCTGATGTGAAAAAGCAAGTCACTGGTAATATCATCAATGGACACAACTTCCACGATGAGGAAGTCGTCCCTACAGCTGATGGCAAGTAGACTTGGTAGGCCCATCACCACCTCCCCTGGGCTCCTTGCTGTGCTCAGACCATGGTAGAACTTGAAATGACAAATTACTCATGCCATCGTACATTACCCTGCTGAAGCCAAAATGCAAGGACTCGCCAAGGTGCTCTAAATTTATTGATATTATCAGCTCAATTCTGAAAAGGGGAAACACTGGGCTCTCAAATCAGTTGTTCAGTGGACATTTTCCCTCTTTTACCACCGCAGGCTACCCACCTCCTAGGATGGTCTAATGGCCTCCTCAGGCCAGTTTGCTTTCTTCTCGATAGGTCTTCCTGCTCGTGGAGGCATGGATTAGACTCACTCCCAGTCTTTGGGGCTCATTGCTTTGTTGTCATTGTCAGGCTCACTGGCACCTGATAGAAGCCTGTCCCTGCTGGACATTACTGCCAGAACGGTCACACCTACAGGTCTCTGGTCTATTGTAACAGTGCACCCTGGCCACCACTGTCATATCCCGCTGCCAAGTCTTCCCCTCACATCGCCTGTAGTTTGTGTGCCCTGCATGTCAATACTTCATTTGAGGCACCTTCAAAACCCCTCTGGCTCATCACATACAGATGTGCTGGTTTCCTACCATTTGCCCTCACATGCTCATACTTATGGGAGTCACTGGTACTGACCCGGTAACACATGAAATCATTCAACAAACATCATTCCTGCCAATCAAGAAATGCCCTAAACACTCAAAATTCGTGTAGCAGACAGCTAGTGTTTGAGATGTTTTCCCTGAAGGAAAACCCCCTGGTAGCCGTGGTAGCTGCAGAGCAGTTGGCTTTAAAGTATTTATTACCCATCTGGGGAGAGCTCTCATCCTCTAAGAGGGCTGCCTGTGGTATGTAGGTAGGAAGGTGCCACCAATAACACAACAAATGAGACAACAGATTAAA